CCATATCCGCCTCCTCCATATCCACGCCCTCCACCACCATATCCACCACCACCACCACCGTATCCACCCCCACCACCACCATATCTACCGCCGGGTTCAGGGGCGGCCATGGCTACAGCACAGAAGGTGGCCAGGAGCCCCAGGGCGATGACCTGAGAGACACAGGAATATCACACATGGCGGACCAGCCGTAATATTATGGACTGTAGCTGTAAACTCTATTTTCATATAAATAAATAATTTACAAAAGTTGAAAAATAAATAATTTTATACCTATGCAATATTTTGCAAAGAAGAATTTCGAACTCCACAAAGTTCTGCTTGAATAATTTATGAATTTATGAATAATTTATGAATTGTGTTGAAAGAGCCTGAGATACCTAACGATTATTCAAGGCAATAAAGTGTTATTATCGGAGATTCGGCAGAGTTTAGGTCAACATTCAGAGTCAAAATGTGATTAACGTAAAGTCTCAAGACAATGTTGATTATTATTAGTGAGTGTCATGAGGTGTGAGAGAGGACCCACCGTCTTGGTGACCATGGTGGTCCTCGGGTCGGTCCACTGACAGGTGAGGAAGGTGAAGTCAAGTTAAGGCTCTCGTGTGGGAGTGCCAGCGACGACTGTGCCAGACCTGGCTCCGTGGCGGACTATATACTGGCACCATCACAGGAACCAGGCCATCCGCAGCAGCAGCAGCAGCAGTCACATCAGCAGCAGCAGCTGCAACAACACAACCACCACCATCTAATACAACCGCTACAACATAGCTAGGAGGTTGGACTTCACTTCCCCATAGTCACTGATAACCAAGCCCCATCACCACCACCATATCTAACACCCATATACTACCATCATTGTTTTTGTTACGTGTGTTGTTTCCCCCATTGTGAATGGTGCAATCATTGTCAGGAACTTGATTCTCATATATAAATTTATTACAATCAAAATTATAAAAATTAGGTTTGGTGTTTTTTTAATGCCAATAACCTCGAGAAGAGTTATTAAATTAAAGCCCTAAAGTGTATCTGCATTTTTCCAGTCGCTGTTTCTCGGTAAAATTGTAAGTGCTGAGTGACCCCCGTCATAATTCTCTGTCATATCAAATATGCTATACAAATCGTCCTTAGTGACAAGTCTCGTTATTCTCCTGCCGTAGTCATCAGTATATTACAACAGAACTTATCATCTTTGTGATATGTTCATGCACTATGAAGTACATATTTCATCCGCCAGCCTTTAGGTAGATTGCTATATTGGCTAATGTTAACATACATCAGGTGTGTAGGATTTGTAATACTCCCAGTAACCTGTATTGCTTAAATACACTGAGAGGTATACCTCGCTTCTTGGTGTCTATGCACTGAAAGTTTACTTTAGTCGTGGACCATGTGCAGGACTAAAGTATACTTGGTGGTTGGTCATTAAGGGATTGTGGCATTAATAATATTCCTTCAGAGGTCAATAGGCCGTCACCCCAACATCAAACTTGTTCAAATCGTTGCAATTCGGTTACCGCATAAGTAGTCCATTGTTGACTTAAATATGTTACCGGAGATGCATTGCACAATTTATCGTAGTACTTCTGTCTTGTTGTTGCATAATGATATCAAATTATGAAATGCAATTAGTGCTAAATACAAATACAACCCGTCCTCAGCATCCCGCCCTTAGGCTATGCTCATATAATCGGTGACTGACCCCACAGACGCATTCGTCAAGTTTAACATACTGTTTATTCATATAATTGTGTATTTCTCAAAACAAAATTTATGTTATTATATATTAGAATTTATGTATATTTAGGGCCTAAATTAGATTTGGTGTTTAGATTCAGTGAGTAATTATTTATATTTATAGTACCTAGGAGAAGCAGTTTACATGGGCAGTTCAGAAGACAGCTAAGCACTCTTCGAGAAAACTGGAACGTCATCAGATGAATCGTGTGTAAAGTGCTCATTTATGACCACTTATATACTGAGAGGTGTACTCCGCTTATCGGTGTGTATACACTGAGAGTTTACCTTAGTTCTGGACTATGTTCAAGATTAAAGTATACTTCCTGGTTGATCAGAAACCTTAATAGCCCTCTAGAGGTTGATAGGCATTAAGCCCAACCATAAATAGTGGGGATGGTGTTGGTGGCTAAATTAAAAAACATTTGTCTTTTGTTTATGAGGACTAGCTGGCTAAATTATATGAAATTAATACCAAGATTCACCAAGCAGCGTGAAGCAGATATAATCTCGGCATCGAACCCAGGAACCTAAAAAAGAGAGTCGAATAAACCCCAATGATGGAAGCATTCGAAACCTTAACTCGTCAACCCAATTAGACAAAGGTTTATTGACAGTTGAGAGGCGGGACCAAAGAGCCCAAGCTCAACCTGCGCCTGCACAGCTAGGTGAGTACTCATTAACGTCAACACTCCCACCACACTCCACGCCCCCTCCACAAAATCAAAACAACCTGAGATGAGTTCAATCTTTACCTGGGCCACAAACTTTGTAATTATCGTGGACGCTGATTGGCTGAGATATCTATTGTCTTCTTGTTGTTTTGTTCCGTTTTCTTTTGTATCTCTTATTTCTTTTTGTTCCTTTTATCTGAGTTCTCGTATTTTTTACTGTACAGGAGAGAAAGTGGGCAGCATCACCTCTGACTCAGACCACAGTATACATCTCCTCACATCTTAGCACCAATATATATACACTGAGAGGTGGACCTCGCTTCTTGGTGTATATACACTAGTTTACTTTACTTCTGGACTAAAGTATTTTTGCCGGTTGTTTAGAAAGCTGTTGTAGTAGCGTTAATAACCCTCCAGAGGTTGATTGATCTTAAACCCACCAAACCAGCCACGAGCATAATTTGGGGTCTCCTGTAAAAACTATCACGATCATAGCGATTGGTCTGTTGTAGCTGTTGCAGAAGCTGCCACATTTAGAATTAAACACCTTTCCTGCGTCGAAGTGTTTCTGTGTTTACAATGCTCACGGGAAGCTCTGAGTTTATTGTGTGTGTGTTTAAGGCCTCCCAACTTTGGGAAGGAATATTAAGACCTCCATAGGGGGCTCATGTTCAGGAAGTATATTTTACATGAACATATTCCAGGACCAAAGTATACTCTTCGAGTATATAAACTGAGATATGGGTTACAACTCTAACGTTATATATTTTTGCTTGTAATCTGTTTGGGGTTAGGTTTAAGGCCTATTAAACCTCTGGAAGGTTATCAAGGCCACCATAATAACCTACTGATCAACAAACAAGTATACTTTAGTCCTGAATATAGTACTGGACTGAAACCCACTTTCAGTGTATATACACAAAGAAGCTAGATGCACTTCTCGGTGTACACATGTAGTCCTGCTCATGTGCCAGGTGATTCCACTACGGGCTCACCATAGCCAGTGCTACTTGGAACTTTGAGTTCCTGGGAGCTAATTCTAAAACAACAACAACAACTTATCGGTGGATATATATCCTTGTTGCCCTGGGTAGATATATCTGGATGTTTCACTGATATGTATCATCCCAGGACATATGTAAGTGTATATCCATATTATCCGTACACTTGCGAGTGTATATCCATATTATCTGTACACTTGCGAGTGTATATCCATATTATCCGGATACTTGCGAGTGAATATCCATATTATCCGGACACTTTCTAGAATGTAGCCACATTTTTCAGACAAGTTACAGTATATATATTCCTATTTTTCGACAGATTCGGGTGTGAACACAATTTTCAGACACGTGCAAGCATGTACCCGTATGTAACACTGTTGATCCACCCAATTAAACGTTACAGTAAATTGCACTTTATTCATGAATTGGATTTTACATGCAAAGATATTTTTAATGTTGATTACCAATATTAATTAATAAGGATATTACAGTAGACTTAAAAGCGAAAAGTGCTTGTTAATACATCGCATTCAGCTTTTTCTTAAGCTGGAGAAAGACATTACTTTCGAATTAAATGAATTACAATTTTCCCTTAGTTAAATGGCTCCTTTTATATATACATTGAACTGTGTAACTAGCATATCAAGACTGTAACTTGCTTAGCTAAATGCATGTTTGGGTTCAGTCGTTGAGTCTATTAATGAACTATACTAAACCTAGTTAAAAACACATCAACTTCGTGTGCAATTTGTACTGTTGATAAATGGTGATAATAAACCACGTGAGATAAAGGAAAATTTTTATTTATACATAAAAATAATAGCATTAATGCCACGCCCACAACACACTTGGTGTTGGACTGAAGGCCTATGAACCTTCCGAGGATTATTAAGGCCACCAAAATAACTTACTGTCTTATCAGCAAGAGTAATTTAGTTCCGGATGTAGGACCAAGAGTAAAATAAACTCAGTGTATATATATACCGAGAAGCGAAGTACACCTCTCGGGGCACATATCCCTTTCTTCATCATTGATAGATTGATTGATGAAAATTAAGCCACCCAAGAGGTGGCACGGGCATGAATAGTCCGTAAGTGGTAGATTTTTTGGAGTGAATGTAATCTTTGGTCGCGAATTCTTCATCAAATTGGAGTCGATGTTTATATCACAGTTTTCCCTGATGACCTGGAACATATGTAAATTATAATTTAAGATTAAGCTCTAATATTGTTGTTGTTTTAGATTCAGCTACTCGGGAGTAAAAACCCCGTGCAGCACGGGCTATGGTGAACCCGTAATCGCTTATATGATGTAAGCTCTAATGGTTTTGATGGTGACTTATACTAATGTTCTAAGGGAGGCGATTAATTTTTTGCGGGGTTAATGTTAATAATTATAGTTATAATGAAGGTAAAAGAAAGATTTAATACATGAGTAAGTGCAATATTGAACCAAATTTTTAGGTGAACCCTAAATGTTTATGGTAGCTACATTGTAGATGTTAATTATAGAATTTGCAAATTCTCATAAAATTTGTATATTGTATTTTCGTTATCGATTCTAGAACTGATCTAATTTACCTTCTTATCTTCCATATCCGCCTCCATATCCTCCACCGCGGCCACCTCCGTATCCTCCACCATAGCCGCCGCCTCCATATCCACCACCATACCCACCGCCACCATATCCGCGGCCGCCTCCATATCCACCACCACCATACCCACCGCCACCATATCCACCACCGCGGCCGCCTCCGTATCCACCGCCACCATATCCGCGGCCGCCTCCATATCCTCCACCACCATACCCACGCCCTCCTCCATATCCACCGCCGCCACCATATCCGCCACCACCGCCATATCCACCACCACCACCACCATATCTACCGCCGGGTTCAGGGGTGGCCATAGCTACAGCACAAAAGGTGGCCAGGAGCCCCAGGGCGATGACCTGAGAGACAGAAATATGACATTAAAAACAAAAACATTATTTTGATATGGCTACAAGCAGATATGTATTGAAATATGAAATTTGTTTGGTGTTATACCAATCTTTTCATGCCAAACTGAATGCAAAATTATAAATAATATTTTGCTATTGATATCCAAGTGCAACCAACAGGAACAAAATATATTAGTGAGTGTCGTGTGGTGTGGGTGAGAACCCACCGTCTTGGTGACCATGATGGTCCTCGGGTCGGTCCACTGACAGGTGAGGAAGGTGGAGTCAAGTTAAAGGCTCTCGTGTGGGAGTGCCAGCGACGACTGTGCCAGACCTAGCTCCGTGGCGGACTATATACCAGCACAGGAACCTGGTCATACCCAGCAGCAGCAGCAATGGATGACCTGGCGTGATCACCCAACAAAAGCCCCTCATACTAAGAGCAAGGCCAGTTTCCCAACACCCCCAAGTTGTCATGGAGACTTAAAGCCATTGTCCAATATTCAGTGTTAAAAATTGGGTTCTAATTGTTTGTGGCTTCCTGGTTACCGCCCCCAAGACGGCAGCTCTTGCTGCTGCTCCTCTCTATGTATCTTTGCATATACAAATATTAAATGAAACTTCGCATAATTATATAGTAACCACTGCAATACAGCATAATTCAATTTTCATAACGAGAGGTTATCACAAGCTGTGGGCTCAGGTTCTCTTAACAGGTAGTGGTCACAGGCTGTGATCAAATATCAGAGGTCAAGGTTGAGCAAAGAAATAGTTCATTGAACGTTCGTTAAATAATTATTTGAATAAATCTAAAACATGCTCATACAAATACGCTGACTTGAATGAGCGAAGGGATTATGTATGTTTCTTCAGGGGTAAGGTTGAACACACAGGGGTAAGATTGCGAGTTACATACTCGGTAAAATAATGAGTAAAATGCACTTCGAGTGCCAGTGAGTGGAATGCAAAAGCCCTTAGACTGCGATATATGTCAATTACCGTATTAGAATGCTCAGAATCACACCAAGGCTAATTAATGTAACTTGACGTTTAACACTGCAGTAAATCAAGGCAACTAAGCTCTACTTATAAATTACTAAAATTCCCAAGAGCTGAGGTATCTCTGATTATTATTGCTCATCAGGAAGGTAAATCTTGCTATCATACATACATACAAATAAGATGGAGTTTTGTCGTATTACTAATATTATTTTCTAATTTTTATAAGCTAAATAACCTAACATTAAGAGGCAACTTTTGATACAAAATGAATGATATAATTTAACCCTTTAAGAACGTTGCATTCCCGATGCATAATTAGTTTGGTGTTGCGCTTAAATTAATCCCTCTCAACCTCTGGAGGGTTATTAGGGCCACATAATAGCTTACTAACCAGCCAGCAAGTATATTTTAGTCCTCAACATAGTCTCGGACTAAAGTAAAATCAGCATATACGCTGAGAAGGAGGGTATATTTTTCGTTGTATATCACTGTGATGCGTAATTTGAAATATATTATTTAATGAGATAAATAATTAACAATAACATGTTAAATTAAGAAGAATGTGTAAACAAATGATTAACTTAAAATTCGATGTTTCCGTAAGTATACATAATTGTATATAGATTTACATACACAGTATGCCACTGAACCATCGAATTTGAAAGCTCATACAATTTAACTGCTGGTGTAGGTTAACTGCACAGCAGAGGAGACGTACTGATTCTGTAACCCAATTATGACGTGATTAAACGATCGCTAACGAAATCATTACAGACAGAATCTGACGACAGTCAACAATCTCAACCTAACTTTCACTTCTTGTGAACTCCTTTAAGTATAGAATTTCTTTCCACATATATACAAACGTTTTTAATTATTAAATTAACAAAGTGTTGACAATATTGATAATAAATAAATGTATTGAAATTTGTATTAATTAAAGAAAACTGACAGCACACATTTCTTCAAAGGAAGGAAATTGTATGTCCTAATATTGGGTGTATATTAACCCTAAATTAGGTTTTAGTATAAATGCACTGATACATATGAATCGATAAAGATTTCTTTGTGTACTAAATACAGAATGCAGTATCAGTGGGCGGGGTATTGAAGAATCTATGATACTTTGTTTCAAAGACCCGCCCACCATTTTTTTTCTGGAAGAAATCCAAAGCGATCCATCTAGGGGCAGATAACATGATCATCTGACCAACAGTAGCCTATAAGGAGGGTTCTTGGGCTGCCGGTCTCATTCCCGAGTTCGCATTTCATTGGTCGAAACCCTACATTAACATTTACCTCAATAGCCAATCACAGGACAGAATCATTTGATAGCTCCGCCTAGTTAATGACATTTCTCAAAAGTTTAACATTACCTTAATGCTTGTTTATGACGTACCATTTTTTCAATACAATTATATTTAAAATTATATTGTTATTTTTAATAATAATTAAATATTATAGGCTTTAACAGTTGATACAAAATAATGTTGCATCAAGTCTAGTACGAAGCCTCGCACACTCATATCATTATATTTGCACTTAGAGAAACTTCTATGAACTCTGAAATTATTTTCCATTTCTGCCATTAGAAACCTTTACCTCCAAATCGGAAAACTGGGAAATATATTAGGAAACCTGACAGTCCATCGAGGAATAGCCAAAATTTATCAGGAAACCTGACGCCTTAATAAACGGCCCATCCAAAATTTGCCTGGAACCCCCGACGGCTTCAACGGCCCATCCCCCCCTCCAAAAAAATGGGCATTTTAATGCTTCATCTCTACTACTACATATTGCTCCTTTTGCCACTAGATGGAACAGTTTGTCAGGTAACACTGAGGTAGTGATGATATCACAGATTAAGCAGCCCAGCAGTTCATTTATATCAACGTTTATATCCAACAAATAACATTTAATATTACATTTAATTATTACATATGTCGAAAAATGCACATTTAAATGTATCTGGGATGAAACAGTATGTCATAAGAAAGGTTGACAATACGAACACTGGAGCTTCTATTTGATTTCTTCCTGTGATTGGTTGTTGGGTGAACGTCAACATAAAACTTCTACCAATGAAATGTGAGCGCACAGGAATAGAACCTTCAACATTACAACCCATTATACACAGAAATCACAATAGCGTGATGCATCAAATGAACAAATCCACAAAGGCCGTGACGAGGATTCGAACCTACGTCCAGGGGCGTCCCAGACGCTGCCTTAATCGACTGAGTTACGACATGGTCAAAAGAATTGAAGCCAGAAGAAAGTTCAGTAGAACTTCTGGTTTCAATTCTTTTGACCATGTCGTAACTCAGTCGATTAAGGCAGCGTCTGGGATGCTTCCGGACGTAGGTTCGAATCCTCGTCACGGCCCTTGTGGATTTGTTCATTTACAACCCATCTCATGGACAGCTATTGTCCTGTTAATAGTGTCATTTGTTGTCCCTAGAGTTATTTTGCTCTGCTATTTTGCACCTCAGTATTTTGAGGTACGAAGTATGTTGTGTACGCGCACACACACACACACACACACACACACACACACACACACACACACACCGAAGCTAATACACAAATCTCAATCCAAGTAAGTAAAGCATGGGACCTGAGTCCATTGCATTAAATTGAAAATATTTAGAAGGCGTGGCAATAAGCCGAAGCTAGACCCAGCAAGTATACCTAAGTATGTCCAGGTGAGTAAACACATATTACATGGTGGAAATATTAGGCGACGTATACTTTTTTCACTTACGTCTATCTTGAGCCCATAATTTGCTAGCCAGAGATTGTGAGTCTTTCGCTAAGTGTTAAGTGAGACACTGAGGAAACCACATGGTTTGTGAAGGTGGAACAGGAGTGGGAGTGTGGCAAGTGTTGTGGCGGCGTTGTGGTACATTCCTCCTGTCAGTGGTTACGTGTGAGTGACTACGGGGAAGTGAGGTCTTATAACCCGCCACTAGCCTCGACGTACCCGTTGTGTAGTAACTTTAATATTCTCATGTTTACATTCTTTGTCATATCTGGTTTTCAAGTTGTGAATGAAGGTCGCTTCCACATATGTTTCCAGTTCATTCCACTTGTACTGAATGTGCGTGTTTATGTCTGAATGTGTGTGTATATGTATCTGAGTGTGTGTATTCACCTAGTTGTGCTTGCGGGGGTTGAGCTCTGCTCTTTCGGCCCCCCTCTCAACTGTCAGTCAACTGTTACTAACTACTAACTAATTCCCCCCCCCCCCCTCCACACACACAGGAAGTAGCCCGTAACAGCTGTCTAACTCCCAGGTACCTATTTACTGCTAGGTAACAGGGGGCATCAGGGTGAACGAAACTCTGCCATTTTTGTTTCTCTCCGGCGCCAGGAATCGAACCCGGGCCACAGGATTACGTTTCCAGCGTGCTGTCCAAACAGCCACCCGCGCCGTGTGTATGTCTCTCTGAGTGTGTACTCACCTATTTGTGTATGCGGCTCGAGCTCTAGTTTTTTAATCCCATCGTTCCCGCATACGGTTGTCTAATGTAATGACGCCTGACCTATTTGCCTATCGTATAAAATTATGAATGGAGTTCGCACCACTGATCGAGGCGGTGTTAGAGGCGTTTGTGGTAGTGTTAATAAGTGTTAGAGGCTGTAGTGGTGATGATGGCGGTGCTGGAGGCGTTAGTGATGGTGTTAGTAAGTGTTGAAGGCGTTAGTGGTAGTGTTAATAAGTGTTGGAGGCTGTGGTGGTGACGATGGCGGTGCTGAAAGCATAGTGGTGGTGACGATGGCGGTGCTGAAAGCATAGTGGTGGTGTTAGTAACCTGTCAAGGACACCATAATTGTGTACTGTAGTATACTATAAACATGCAGAAGCTGTGTTTGTAACAGATTTGAACCCGGTGGTGCCCGGGTCAACCAGAGCAACTTAAATCTGTATTTAATCAGTCTTTCTTCCAATTGTTCTCTCTCTCTCTCTCTCTCTCTCTCTCTCTCTCTCTCTCTCTCTCTCTCTCTCTCTCTCTCTCTCTCTCTCTCTCTCTCTCTCTCTCTCTCTCTCTCTCTCTCTCTCTCTCTCTCTCTCTCTCTCTCTCTCTCTCTCTCTCTCTCTCTCTCTCTCTCTCTCTCTCTCTCTCTCTCTCTCTCTCTCTCTCTCTCTCTCTCTCTCTCTCTCTCTCTCTCTCTCTCTCTCTCTCTCTCTCTCTCTCTCTCTCTCTCTCTTTCTTACAATATCTCTATTAGAGCACAT